CCCACCCACCCACCCCCCCCCGCACCCACACCCACCCCCACACCCACACCCACACCCACACCCACACCCACACCCACACCCACACCCACACCCACACCCACCCTTCATTTATCAATCAATCGTTAGTTTAGAATTTTATTTTGTTCATCCTCAGAGACATTTCGGTCAGTTTATGAAAATTAATATCATTTTGAGAACTTTTTAATTGATTTCTTTGAAAGTTCATGAGACGATTTTCTAAGTAAACCCTCAGTTCAAAGAATAGTTCTCCCCATTAAATCGAAGTACTATAACCAAATTTAATAGACTCATTTTTGCATTAAGGTAAAACAAAAATTGGCACCTTTTCGAACATACCGTTATGCTTCGAGCTAGCTTTTGTGTATGAGTGTTGGACTTGTAGTTTAGTGTACTTTGACGTTTTTTATTTCGATTACAGATTCAACAATGCACCAATAAGTACAATGAATCCCACTGTCAATTTGAGAGTTGGTCAGGTTCATGCTATCCATATTCCAATGGCCGACAGTGATGGAGACGAAGTACGATGTCGATGGGGATATGATGAATTTGAAGTAGGGGACATTTACTCTGCTAAGGGAGACCTACGATCAAATCCTTGTGAACTAACATACAATGCAACCATGATTGGCTATGAAGGAGTTGCACTCGTCATTGAAGATTTTGATACCAACGGTGCATTACTTTCATCAATTCCATTACAATTTCTTATTCAAATTGTTGATGCTCCAACAGATAACAATGAGTCAACTGTTAGTCCATCGTTACCACCATCATGCCACATACCTCCTGTTTATCTTGGTGACTGGCAAAGGGATGCATGTGTTGGAGTCAATTCAAATAGTACAGTTGAGTTGCGGATTGTTGTCGAAATATCTTGTCAAAATACTAGCACTAAAATTCAAGATATTCTTACTATATCTCCACAAGGTATGACCAAAAGCTATATAACACAAGACCCCATGAGTAGCAATACTTATATAATGCACTTACAATGGCAACCAAGACCTGATCAATATGGCATTCATCAAGTTTGTGTAACACCAGCTGATTCCGAAGGGCAAATTGGTTCTCAAACATGCTTCAACTTGCAAGTCGATGTTAAATCACCTACTTTTATAAGAGATTCTATCGTACCAACTGGTATTGTTGCACAAAATCAAAATATTTGGAGTATTTCTACTGACGTTGATATTGTTCGCCCAACACATAGAAATGTTTATGCAAGATTCATAAAGCGAGTTCCATTTAACTCTAGTAGAGATACAGAAATTATTCGAGTGAACTCAGATAATGCTCATTATGATAGAAGACGAATTACTTTTTACACCGATGGTACTATTTGGGAAAAGGTAAATGGCTACCATTATTTATGAACAATAGAAGCATTGAAAACCAACTTTTTGAAATTTCGATGATAAAAACATATCCTTTCCTTAGCAAGATTAAAGTTTGATAAATTTCAGATATTGCAAGAAACAAAACAGCTACCAAGCTTCACAACAAAAATGAACAGCTCTTTTTAATCTCGTATATTTCGAAAATAATTAACAAGCTGAGTTTTTTCTTTGTAGGGTCAAAACTACTACATTATTCTAGATGGTGGTATAGCTGAAATAAACCAAGCATGTGGAGTACAGTCGGCACCTGTTATAGACAGCAATTTTTGGACATTTGCAATTGAGATGACGCATACTACTGAGTCTACACAAATTACAACTAGTAAGTCACCAATAGGAACATTGTCTAGCATTGTTGAGAGTAATACTTCGGAGGAATTTTCGAGCTCAACGGTGAAAGTAATCTCTACAGAAGCTACCATTTCAACATCACCGACCAATACACCAGACCCGTTTGCTTCGGCTTCACTTACAACAAAAAGAAGAACGACAGCAACAAGTACAACAAAAACAACAACTACTACAACTACAACTACTACTACAGCAAGCACTAGTCCTAATGTAATATGTCCTCGATGGCTTCAGTTTGGCTTAATTATCAATGTCACAACGAATGCTTCACATCCAGAATTTACTTTCTGTTTTCATGTGAATCAATCTTCGAGTGATGTTACTGTGGCAGCTAACACGTGGGTTCCTTGTGCTAATTGGAAGGTATCGGGTGCAGGCGATCCATTAATGGATCTCTATGTAATCGGCAACAATTTAAAGATGTTAGCACAAAATGATGATGGCAATTCCATACCTCATCTCAATTGCTATGCTTCAGTGTTGAGCTATCGTTTAGATCGTGGCAATTATCGTGTGGTAATTCGTCATCACAAGTGCTTATACGGTTACTTTGAGGTACGACTCTCAGCGGAGACAACCAACCCATTCATATAGAAGACAATTACAGATTCGGACCAAACTATCCAATAATTAGAACTTGTTATTTTTATTTTCATACATTTCAATTTACAACATTTTATATTGATATAAAATAGTTTAAAAAATCTAATGTATTTTAAAGAGTTGAAATAAGAAAATTGTATAACGGTCACAAGATAAATGAAAAATAGAATAACTTTAGTAATAAATCTCATTTTGGGCAACGATTATATGTGAATTTATTACATTTTCGAAATAAAAACTATTGTTTGATTTTACTGTAAAGACTTACGCTGCCTCTTTTTAAGCAATGCATGTAACTGCAATGTATCGATATCAGTGAGAACTTGTATAACAAGAAGCTATGATCAATATTATGTTTTACTCGCTTGGAACGATATCTTGTAACAGATATTAAACAAATTAAACGCTGGTGTAGCCACGATTTTTAATATTACTGAGCGTGGATGTATTTGATTAATCCATAAATACCTATCTTCATTAACATTTCAATAAGAGAAAAAGGGCAGATTTTCAGGATTTTGAATCCCAATAAAAATACGAGAAATTCAAAAAAATCTAATGGGAATCAGAAAATCCCATGAGAATCTCAAAAATCTCATGCGAATCTGAGAAGTAGGACTGAAATTCAGAGAATTTTATGTATGTTTTAAGAGACTATCATACACAAATAAGCGGAACCGTATAATTATCCGACTTTTTTTTTGTAAAAAAAGGTTCATTCAATCTTTTCTTGTTTTGAAACTTGTAATTCCATAAGGAAGAATAGCGAGAAGTAAAGACATTCCATCAAAATGTAATTAAATATGAAATATGTATAAAAGCTATTGTTGATAAACAAAATTGAACAATTGATGCGTTTATTGAGGGTATTCCGTAATTTATCGAGGTTGCTGTACTCAGTTAAAGACATTGGTAATGTAAATTCATAGACAAAGGTTAAAATACTAATTTTCTATACCATCTAGAGTACTCAACTCTTCTAAGTGGGAAGCTCTATACTAGAAATCGATTTGCCGAAGAACTAGTCGTCTTGGATTTTCATGTCAACTCGACAACGTTTTCTTTGTTTTCAGAATCCAACACACTTCTCTACTAAACTTCGAAACCAAATGCTTTCAGAGAAAGCAAATATGCTAATTGGATACTAACAAGTCTCTGTTGGAATATTCATTGAATTAATCGAGACTAAATCGAAGTTTGTACATGGTCTTGTTAAGACAGATATAAAGTGAAAACATCGGCTAAATTTCACTTCTTGCCTGAAACGTTCGAGTAATGATGTACTCTCTGCTCTAGAAGACATTAATAATTATCGAGCTGCTCTTGCTAGTTTACGACTTTTACATTCTGTTGCGATCGCACATACAGGTTGTTTCAAAAGTCTATTAAAAAAGTTAATTCGTAAAATTTCACTATTCATCAAACTTATTCAGTCAATTTTTTCGGATGACATATATAAGTGTGAAGTTTTTGTTTATGTGGACAGATTTCGCGAATACTGTTCAAATTTACAGTTTTCGACCAAAACACCAAAGTCAGTCCCTCTCGATCCACTTCGAAGTTTTTTCCTTTCAATATTTCAAATTCCTGCGTCCTTTTTGTGATTTTTGTATTATTCACTTCTTATAGTATTTTACGCCTGCATTTATTGTGATAAGTCAGTGCAAAATAAACCTTATGATATGAAATTTCAAGATCATGAATCTGACGAAATCGATTTTTCCTTTTCAGCTCATCAGTCACCGTTCCAAAAGTTACAGTGAGCATATGAACCTCGCGATCTTGGAATTTTATATTGTTAGGCTTGTTTTGCACTGAAATATCACAATAAACGCAGATGAAACGTAATGTAAGAAGTGAACAATACAAAAATGACAAAAACAGCGCAGGAAGTGGAAATATTGAAAGAAAAAAACAACTTTGAAGCGCATCTAGAAGAACTGACTTTAGTGTTTTAGTTGAAAGTTATAAATTTGGATGGTATTCGCGACTTTTGTCCGCACAAACAAAAGCTTCAAACTTATATCTATCATCCAAAAAAAATTGATTGAATAAGTTTAATAAATAGTGAAACCCTACGAATTAATTTTTTAATGAACTTTTGGTACACCCGATAGAGAGCATGATATATCGATCGTTGATTGCATTGGCCATGGTTGGTTTGCAGTATTTCTGTGCTGTATCTGATAGATTTTGTTGGAAATAAATGATGAGAAGTACATTGTAAGATGCGCTAGTAATAATTAAAAAAAGTCCTATTAATAACCAGTCCAGCACATTTCTCAATCGAATGCAATGCACATAGTTTACTTGGGTGTGGGTGTGGATGTGGGTGTGGGTGGGGTGTGGGTGTGGGTGGGTGTGGGTGTGGGTGTGGGTGAAGTGTGGGTGTTGGTGTGGGTGAGAGTGTGGGTGTGGGTGCGGGTGTAGGGGGGTGGGTGTGGGTGTGTGGGTGGGTGTGGGTGTGGGGGTGTGGGTGTTGTGGGTGTCGGATGTGGGCGTGAGTATGGATGGAGATGTATTGAAAGTGCACACCCACATCCACACCACACCCACACCCAAAATGTCATGTATGCTCTCAATAGAATAAAACGTGAAAAATCAGTCAAATATACAAGATATCAGTGTAAAGAATGTGATGTTAGGTTATGCGCAACGGATTT